GTGTAACTGGGGCTGCCAAAGGCGAATTAGTTTCTTCAATATGACCCGCTTCTAATAAATTTGTAATTTGCGATTCTATTTCTTTTTGATCAGTTATTGAACATCTGTATGGTTTTTTTGAAACATATTTATCTTCTGTTAATTTAATTTTTGCTTCTCCACATTTAACTCTACCTACATCATATTTATTCTTAGCAAAAATTACTTTATATTTATTAATAAGGTTCATTATTATTATTTTATCTTTCTCATTTAAATGTTGTAAATTATTTTCAAAAATACTAACATCAATATATTCATTCAAATTTAATTGTAGATCATTCTTTTGTTTTTCTTGACAATTTACTAATTCACTTTCTTTTTCATTTATTTTTTGAAAAATATTTAAATTTTCATCCTGTGACAATTTAAATATTTTAATAGCATCTAGACCAAGTAATAAATCATATGAAAAATTATTGTTTTTTATAACATATACTCTAAAACTTTTTCAATTTTATTAATTTTTAAATGTAAACGTGCCCGGCTATTGGTAAAATTTACTCCACTTATTGTTTTAAACAAACTATGATTTTCAAAAAATTTTGTTTTTAATTGGTTTATAATGTTGTGATTAACAAATGTAATATTTGAACCACTATCATAGATACCTTTTACTTTTTTTGATTTATTAATTAATACATTTAATGTTATAAGCGGTGTAAATTTTTCCGGGCGATTTAGTTTTTTTGGTTCTCTAGTTCAATGTCCAATAGTTCATCAATTTCAGTTTGATTGACTTCGGATACATTAACATTTTTTTTTTTCAAATATTGCAGCTTGTTCCGACAAAGTTGAAGTAGATAATAACGATTAGGTTTATTTAGAGCCTCACACATATAACAAGGCTTTTTTTCAGAAAATCCTTTTGGTGCTACATTATACATATTATTATTATTATTGTACTTCTTGTTAACATTACTCTTCCCCTTTATAATTACATTATTATTATTATAATTAGATTTCATCTTATCATCTTTTTTATATTGGTATTTTCTGAATCATACATTCTTATTTTATTCATTAATTAATCTGTACTTGTTATCTCCTCCTTATCCAGTTTATCTTGTACATTTAGCGGTAATCCCATAACAATCAAATTTATTCTAGATGTATTTGACATAGAACTCTCAATTTCTAGTATTAAACGTTCTTTTTTTAGAGCATAGTCAATTAATGATCCATTTAAATATTTAACATTATATGCAAATCTGACATTTGCCCAACTTTTATCAGCATACACTTGTAAAAAGGACCCTACCCAATCTGACCATTTGTTTATTGATAATTTTCTTAAATTTGAATTATACCATTCTTTTGCACTCTCTTCTAAAAAAAATTTTAAACTTTGTATCTTCTTAATTTCCTCTATGACTTTATATCTATCACACTCTTTTTCAAATTGGTCTAACCATTCTTTTGCATTCTGCCTACCGTTAAATTTATCTATAATAAATTTTTTTTCTATATCAGCTAATGATATCTCTTTTAATTCTAATTGAGCTTTTAAATCCATACACAATTTCATTAAATCATTTTTATCATCCACTACAAATGTATTTTTATCTGCATTAATTTTTTTTTCGTCTAATTCGTCAATATAATATGATCTGAATACAAAATTACGTTGGTCATCAGTATACAATGCACTTACCTCTTCCGATAACATAACCGTTATATTACGAAATTGTCCTTCTTTTACTATACTCTTGCATGCGTTTTTCACAATACTGATTTGAAACAATTCTTTATGTAGATCTTCATGTTGCCCTTTTAAGGGAAATGCATACTCAACTGTATCATCCAAAAATCTAATTGTTTTTACCATATTAATTAGTTGACCAGTAACCATCTGTTTCTGGAATTTTATTTTAAACTTTGCAGACATCTTTTAAATTATCGATTTGTAATTTTGTTCAATAATAAGTTGATCGATTCTACAATCAAGTTTTTTATTAATACTAAATTGTATAACAAATACACACATAAACAAAAAACAATAAAGAATCGATAATTTAAAACTTATTACTGTATACTCTTTAAATTATATAAAATAAAAATAATTATTAATTATTAAAAATATTACCATAGATTTTACACATTAAATCTATATGATAATACAAATTACATCAGTGATAACAGTGTCCCTATAAACAGTGCCGCCACTGTTATATATTTTTAAAGGGATATTTTTTTTAATACGTTAACAATAGTTTTGAAATAAGGAGAATTGAAAGAACACAACCTCATTTAAGAAAAATGTATTTTAAACTTACTTTGTTTGTACTCTTTTTTATAATTTTATTTTTATGCAGTAATTAATTTTTAAAAAAATGCACAGCTAGTTCATTTTTTTTTTTTTGGGTTTAATATACCGTTTGGGAAGCCATAGTATGGGGTCACTCATTTTCATAAAATTTATATGAACCTAATCTATATTGAATATAAAGTTAAACATCATTTTTATTTTTATGCCAATGATCCCTCTTGAGACAAGAAAAACGTTTTAAAAAATTTGATCAACCTAAATTATGATAAATTTAGATAACGATATACAGATTCTTAAAATGTCTACTTGATAGCCGCTCTTTTCCATTCGATTTTTCTTAAATCTATATTTATATTAAGAAAATCTTCTTTGATGTTTTTAGTTTCATATATTTCTTGATTTATTAATTATAATAATATTTTAATTCTTATTTTATGCCTTACAAGGGTTATTGTCAATATTACCTGAGAAATGAGTTTTCCGGAAAGACAAATTATAATAGGGTAGTGATCACTATCATGAAGATCACACAAAAAAGACTAGGAAGAGAATAATAAAATATTTGTAGAGCAGATAGATAGGTCAACAGCGGTATCGGCGAAAGGGGGATAGTTAACTCTGGTAGGTAAACCTGTATTAAGTATGCAGCAGTTATGTTGGGTTGAATGGATAATATTACCTCTAAAATTAGAATTTAATGACCCACATGCAAGAGGGTGGTCATTAAGATCCCCTGCAATTAAAGAGTTATTAGAAAGCAATTTAAAAATTTCGGATAAAATAAAGGTAGAGAGATTAGCAGAAGGAGGGATATAAATGGACCATAATTGGAGAGAATTATTATTAGGTACCAGTACATCGATACCCACTAAATCAATAGAGAAAGAGATAAGCATTTGTTTAAAGTTATCATTGAGTATAATAGATCGAAATTGTATAGAAGAATGGACTAAATGGCAACTCCACCGTAACTACCTGACCGATCAGAACGAATTGAATGGAAATTAGGAAAAACAAAGTGCTTATTAGGTAATAACCAAGTTTCGCAAAGAAGGGCAACTTGGCATTTGTTTTGAGAGACGAGGAAAGAAAGATCTTGAGCCCTAGACAGTAAACTTCTAATATTCCATTGTAAAATATTTAACATCTAAAAATAATTATAATAAAAACAAAGGAAGAGATGATATAAAACTATTGACCTATGTAATGTATGTATAAAGTATATAAATATAAAAACAGCGAAAAAACGCACACATAACTGTATTCAAACAAAACTTAAATACCACTAAGTAATTATGTATAAAATCCTTTTATTTCCAAAAATAAAGAGCGTCAGGTTTTCTTCATAATTTTATGTTGTATCAAAAATCTAAATCAAATACCACCAAAATTTTGAAAAAAGCTAAGAAAGACTCATGGATTAATATGTGCTCTAAGTTACATCCTTCCTCGTCTATCTCTAAATTTTGGGCCTTAGCTAAAATATTTAAAAAATGTATGATCCGTCCCTTATCAGTTACCAATTATGATTGGTTTGACAAATTTTGCGATAAAGTGGCACCATTATACGTTCCTAATTCCTGCGATTTTCCTCGTATAATTTTTGACTGCTGTGCTTTTGATAGAAATCGTTCTATTTTATTTAATTATTTTTCTCATCATAATATCTCTCCTATTAATTGTTACACTATTCTTAACTCAACTTCTCTCGATGCAATTTCTTTAGTTATTTCTTTCAATCATTCAGCTTTTTTTTTAATTTAACTATTTTTACTGTAACTTTATTGTAATTTCGTTATTGTAAGATCAATTGTACTATATTTTTCTTTTTTTTTTTTTAATTGTTAATTTTCTTAATTGTTAAGCTATAATAATACTTTGTATTAAAAGCTAATAAAAAAAATAAAAAATCTTTATATATTTCTATAATTTTTTGAAAAATTTATGGATAAATTCAATTTTTTCATGAGAAATACTATTGATATAACTGTAAGGACAGCCCGGAAGGTTATAGTTTAAAATTAGGATTGACACATTGTGTTTTATTATTAAGATAAGAGTAAATATAGTTGACAAGGATAATTTATAAATTTCTTCTCAGAAAAGAGTGATTTTTAAAGGTAAATAATTATAGGCTTATGACTGAATCATGTGTAATTTAATATAATTATATAAGTTTTAAAGAAAAATTTTAAGACAAAAAAATCTTATTTTAATTCAATTTCTTAATTGTTAATTTTATTAGTAAGTTATTTAAAAAGATACCACAATAGGATAATGATCACTATCCCGAGAATTACGCAAAACAGAAGGACAAGATAAAAATTAGAAAACATATAGTTAAACCAACAGCAGTATCAGAAAAAGGGGGATGATTACCACTTATAGGTACACCTGTATTGAGTATACAATAGTTATGCCCAAAAAAATATTTTTTACAATTTGATTAGATTTGTTTTGTTTTTAAATATTGTCATTTGTGTGGTTTGGGCTAATGATTTACAAACTACTTTTATCCTATATTTTATTTACCTTTATTTTTGATACTAATTGCGAGTTATATATAGGTAACTAAGGAAACAAGTCAATTGTTAGAAACAATGAGAAAATTAGAAACCATTTACTTAATTACTGAACACTCTATATCATGTTATTAAACTAAAATTTTTATATGCTAATTTTTTATTTTTAGGTTATTTATTAAAGTACTCAGAATGGCTAATGGAACTATTACAGGTTTTCAAGACTTTATAACTGATGTGAAAATTAAAATGTTCACAATTTTTGGTCAAGAATTAAAATTTGGTAAAAATAAGTATAAAAAAAAAATATAAGGAACACCCAAAACTAATTTTAAAGTCAAACCTTACTGAAACTTATATTCCTAAAGGGCGTGGTGTGGCACGGTGGTCACACTAGTTGTTGAAAAAACTCTAGTGTTAAGCCGCGCCTACCGCCGAAGGTGAACGGATGGGTGACCATGCGTGCTTTTCAACGGTAGCGTAAAAGCATTTAAATTTCCCCAGGGTATACTAATGGTATTAACCAACCTAAAGGTTGTAAAAAAAAAAAAAAAAAGTCAGCCTATTAATTCAATAATTTGTTTTGTAATTTGCTTTAACATATAAATATTCTTGATGGGTTAAGTCATTATTTATAATACCTAACGTAATATATTCACAAGTTATAAAAAATTTTAACTTTTTCCATTTGGAAGCTGTTAATTTGTTTCTTACATTTATATTAATTATTGTTGTTTTTTCAGAATTTTTGACTGTGATGGTTTTTTTTATAAAAGCTAAACATTTTAATTTTAGAACAATCTAACTCAAAAATATGTTTTGCGTATTTTATAAATTTACATGAAAATAGTCATAATAAGAGAAATAACAGTTAAACCCAAATCTTCTAAATTAATCTTATAATATGTAAGGATTTTTTTGAAAATTACCAAGCCGTTTTTATATTTTGACTATGCGACATTAATACTTAAAAACTGGTGAACCGAAAATATTATTTGGATTGTATACCATAATTCAATCTACAGACACTTCAAATATATTTTGTACGAAATTAAAAGAATCATGGCCCTTGTTGATATTATATGAAGTAAAAAACTAACTCTATTGGAACATTTTAAATCCAGTATTAGTTTGGGTATTATTTAACTACTAGGTTTTATCAACAATATTTATTCTAAATCGATATTCTTTAAATTTCAATGATATATATCACGATATCAAAAAAAAAAAACAATAATTGTATTTAATAATGAGAATATTTATTACTTTTAGGTCACACATCTTGTTAAAAAGTTAATTGGTATTTATAAATTTTTAATTAAAATCATGTTAAACTAATTATTAGTAAAGAAAAAGTTTTTATTTGTTAATTATTATTCTTCTTGAGTTTTTTTAGAGAAATTAACATAAAATATTCAGTGGATTAAAAGTTATATGATTTATTGGAATAGGCGGGTTTCTCTGAATATAAGTAACTGAAATTTGTGGTAAAATTTTATTGTAAAATGATTTTATTTTTATAATTAGTAGTACTCCAATAAAAATTCGATTTCATAAAAAACTCAACATTTTAATGATATTAATATCATTGATAATCAATTTTATCTATCAAAAATGTTTACGGTAACAGTCGCAGTCAATTAAAATTCATACAATTATTTAGATAAAGAAGCAGACTCTTGGCTGTTTATGCCCACACCATGGCCTGTATTGTCAATTATAATGATTTATTTATTGTTTGTATTAAATGTTGGACCAAAAATGATGAAAAACCGTAACCCTCCAAATTTAAAATACATTATTTTAGTTTACAACATAATTCAAATTTTACACAATGGATACATGGTTTCAACAGTAAGTTTTAATGAATATACAACTGTATATAATAAAACTCGATAAACTTTATTTAAATATTAAAAACTGCAATTTCTTTTCTGTAACACTAATAATTTAATCATTATTATTACTAATATTACTAATTTAATATTTCATACCCCTATTATCTTATAGTAATAATTATTATGAAATTATATCTATTTATATATAAAAGTTAGAATATATTTTTAAAAATGAACCCCTAACAATCGAAACCTAGCATAATTGGGATCTAGCATAGTAGGCTATGAATAGACTTAAATCTGATAGTGGTTATAATACTCATTATCAGAACAATTATTTTTTAAATATTATATTACATTTCAAAACTTTAAAGTTAAGAGTTATCAGGTATTCTACAAAACGTTAAAAAATTAAAAATTAAATATTTAGATTTGAGGACAGTATAGTACACAACTTCCTCTGTATTTAAACTGTATTAATATCAAAAGTGTATAGAAAGAAAGTTTATTGTTTCCAATACACTTAATATAAATTTCGTTTAAATCTATGGATTTTTGAAAGAGTTATAACTATATTAAATGTAAAAAAAATTTTTGAATGTGTATGTTTTGATATCTGCATAATTTCAAGATATATTTATAAATTTCTAAAATTGAATCCGATTTTTTTACGTTTAGATCCTCCAAATCTGTCTGTTAGAGCTAAGTTTTTTTAATGGCAAAATAAATAAACTCTTATGGTAAAATTATTCATTTATTACTTTGCATCAAAACTAATACAATTTTACTAAGAATAGCTCAAGGATGGTAATTTTTTTCAGTAAAAAATTTACATTCATTATATATTAATGACATTTTTTCTCAAGGCATATGTTTCAATGTTATTGATAATTTTAAATTAAAATTAGGATAAATTAATACTTAATTTTTTAATATTTTTTAGTTTTAAATTAATAATGTTATAAATATAGTTATAATTTTAAATATATTAATACTTTTATTATTAATCGACATTTAAGTAAAAAATTATATAATTTTGTTGAATATGTGTAACATTACTTTTTTATACGTATTTTTTAATAGTAACTTTAATCCTTGTAAGATAACAATCAATACTACTTAAAAAAAATTCCTCAACTTCTCTAGACTCGATCCCAACTATACTTAATTTTTATTATATAATATTTAACGTCATGGATATTAATATATTAATATATTTATTATAAAAATAAACAAAGAGTTTTTATAAAAATAATTTTTTTTTTTTCAGATATTTTACCCTGGTATAGCTTCAACTATATTCGGGAGTTTATGTGTACCATATGTAGAAAATGAAAACCCACATTTGTTTCACATGGTTAGTTTCATAAAATCAAAAAAATTATCATTTATATTTATCAACTTAATACTCAATACATATTAATGTACTCTTCATATTGTACAGAATGTCCAGTAAGTAAGGAAATTAGTTTCTATTGTTCTCATAGTTTGTAACAATTGACATTTTTCCTTACTTTTTGAACATTCTGTATATGTATGTTGTCATTTAAAGGAATAAAGAAGACACTTGTTTGGGTCGGGAATTGAGTTGAGTTAATTAAAAATAAAATAATAATTTTTATATATAAAAATTTATTTATAAAAATGTTTGTATAAAAATTTTGAAAAATTTTTTTATTTTACATACAAAAACAAATATTTCTCCACAATATCATTTTATTTTATTTCCAATATTTTTTTAAATACGAATAAATTAATAACATGAATTTTTTCCAATAAAATGGATTATTCATGAGACTCAATATCAAACGATTTTGTCTTTTCATAAAAAAAAAAAATATTTCAAAATCTCTTGAAAAATTCTATCTAATAACTTTTTTTTATATTTTCCCAAGTCCCATTCTCAAATAGGTAATTTTGTGTTTATGTGTTTATAAATTCAAATTTTTTAATGTGATTTCTTATTTTTTTTTTATCTAGTATTTCTAGAAAAATGTTTAGTAATTTAAAATTTGAATAAAAAATGTCCATTTTCTGATGATTTTAATGTAATTTTTGGGGTATTTTTGTTGATGATTTATTGAAGGAACTTTTTTCAAACGGATATAAGGAAATAGAAGGATGTAAAATTGATCTTTTTTTTTATTTATTTAAATAAATGTTATATCTATAAATTTCATTATGAAAACAGGGTGATCGAAATCTGGTAAGACACTTATTTTCTCAGAAACTATTGATTATTTAAAATTTTTGTAAAAAGAAAAATTATTAAGTTTATAAAACTCTATAATAATATGAAGTTAAATAATTTTTTTTTTTTATCCCTACAAGGATAAAAATGTTTATTTATATATTTTTTTAAATAGGAACCACTATTTTTGATTTGATAATATGATAGAAAAAAATTTACAAACAATTTTGTTTTTATAATTTTTTTATCCCAACAACCGTTTATGTTATATATTTGTTTAAAGATTTTGATTTCCAGAAAAAATATTGTCATTTATTACGTTTCATAATATCGGTGACAGTGCAACCGGTATTTTTGTTAGATCCTTTAGTCTTACAAAACCATAGACTTAGCTATTAATAATACACCGAAAACCCGGTTTGAATCTATAATTGTTATCACTCATTTAGTGCGTAGTAAATTTTTATAGCTAATTTACCTGTCATAACTTTATCAATATAATTTGATTTATGCAACAGAAAATAAAAGTAATGACTTCTGTATTTAATACAGTAAAATGACAAGAGAAATTTAGCCTAAAATCACTTAACTTTAACAAGCTGTAACGGACGAATGGTTAATCGGATAAAAAAAATTTATAAGAACAAAATTGTTTGTAATTTTTTTTCCTCTCATATTATAAAGTTATAAATAAGGGTTCCCATTTAAGAAAATTATAAATAAGGATTTTTATCCCTGAAGGGACGAAAAAAATGATGATTTGACTACATATTATTGTAGAGTTTTTTGAACTTGATATTTTTTCTCTATAATAAAATTTAAAACTCAATATTTTCTGAAAAAATAAGTGTCTTACCAGATTTCAATCACCCTGTATATGACATAATATAATAAATTATATTTAATCATTATTAGTATTAATTGTTTATTATTAACATTCTACTTATTTCATTATTTATCAAAATAAATAACAACTAAATATGTCTAAATGAATAATGATAGGTATCTATATTTATTACGTAATAACGTTAGAAATAAATTATATTTTATAATTATTATTTAATTATATTTATATAATTTAAGCATACTCATTTATTTTAATTAATATAATTATAAAAGTAAATAGATTTAGTTAAACCATAATATAAAATATATGTAGCACATAACTATCGAAAATTAAAGTATTGTTATTTAAATTGCTTTAATTAATTAAATTTAACGTGTATGCAATTGTAAATTTTTATTTTAGAATGAGTGTAAACAATTATTTAAAATGCAATGCGCTTTTTTAAATTTACATCATGTGAATTAAATTAACAAATTATAAATTTATATGTAATAAATTAGTGTTATTGAAAAGTAATATTAAAATACATATTTTAACATTAAAATTCAAAATATTTATTTATATTATTATAAATTGCAAATAATCGTAGAACGTAAACGTTCATCGAAAAATAAAATTTTGTCTGTGTACATAATAAAACAATAAAATCCGTCCGTAACTGCCAAACGATCCAGGCTAACGTGACTGCTGATCGTATTGCACAATAATTCTTTTTTCAGTCCTTTTTAAAGAAGTTTCACTTTAAAAAAAAGTACATCATACTTATTCTATCATTAATGATAAAAATTCAAATTATTATGCCATTCAATATTAATTTATTTTTAAAAACAAATAAAAATGAATTTTTTTTATCTTTTTTACAGTTTTTAGAGTATTCGTGGCATTTTTTCATATCAAAAATTAGTGATCTCATGGACACAGTAAGTATTTTCAAATTACATTCAGTGCTCGAATTGGGGGGGTGCGCAGGGGGACGTAGCTCCTCTACTTTTTTTAAAATTTTTTTGCGCACCCCAACTACTTTTTTTTATTGTGACGGGAGGACGGTGGAAAATACCACCTTTTTTTTTTTTTTTTTAATATTAGTATGATAATGAAATATGATTTATTAATAAATACTAAATAAAGTAATTAGTAAAAAAAAAAAAAAGGTCTTCAAAATACTAGGGACGCAGTTTTCAAATTGTTAAGTTGAGCTCCCCTACTTATTTTTGGCCAATTCGAGCACTGATTACATTTACTTACAGAATGATAGATTAAGAATAGAAAAATAATTTGTTTTATAAAATATTGAAAATTAAAAATTGTTGATAAAAAATTATTTGTTTGATTCAAAAACGAATACAATAATATGTAGTTAAATAATTTATTTTTTCCATCCTTTCAGGGTTGTAATCCTAAACTTTTATATTTTTTAATCGAATCTCTATTTTCAGTTTAATGATATAATTAAAAAAATTATTTTTCAGTGAATCAAATTTTCTACTAGTATTAACCATTTATTGTTCAACGTAAAGAAATCGTCATTTCTTTATGATGTCACAAAAGTAAACTTGTTTGTTTGTAAACAACATTGATAATTCATTTTATTTTATCTATCGATTACCATATCAAGAATAAATATTGTTAACAATTGTTGGCCCATTAAAACCGATTATTTTCTTCAAATGGCGTCAGGAGATCAGAATCTAGACACACTTTTATTAATTATAAAGTGATTGACATTTCTTTAAAAGTAAACGATACTTTTTTAATGTATTTATCTAATGACATTTGTCAAATTTTATTGCAGCTTCCCATAAACAACCAAATTCTTAAGATCTAGAAATATGTAGAAAGTCTTATTATTTTTTGAAAGAAAGTTTGTTCAACACACTTCTTTTCAAACGTTTAATCGTTGCCCCCGCCGGATGCTAACAAGAGGAATTCGAGCGTCTTCACTGTCTCTCAGCGCTACAATCGGACATAACGTATTACTGTTACATATGCGATTGTTGTACGATACCGAGTTTCTGTCGTTACTCTTCTGTATCTGCGTTGTCATCTTAGCGTATTTGCTACATGGCTCTACAATGCTTGCGAGCAAATAGTTGTTCTGTAAAAAGTGACATATCACCCTTGTGATTATCACATCCTTGTGTGTTTTTAGTATATTGTCCTAGGTATTTTTATGTTCTGTTGAACATCACAGTACCGTTTACGGCATATAGTCCACTTTCCATTAGCTAGCAACTAAAGCGATCAGTTAATCTTATTCAACTTCACACATTGATCCATTAAACAACGTCATGAGTCGTTACAATTAATACGATAAGTATGATACTTGTTTTTCTTCAATTTAAGATTTATTTACATTTGTAAATTATTTTTCTGTTGGCGCTATTGTGGCATTAGTATTAAGTACCCCGTAACCATATCGATATACATAATATTTTCTAATTTGTATTAATATAGTTAATTATATTTAACTGTATTTAAATCATATAAATAATTATGTATATGCTTTGATATCATTCATACAGTTCACTTTACTTGTTCTTTCTCTTCGTTATTGTGCGATTAAATGATATTCTCGTTTTAATCTTTGTAAAATCAAGTATTTATATGAAATTTTCATACATACATGTTTTATTTGTATGTCTTATTTTTATAATAAACCAATAATAAAATGTAAAAGAATACAATTTTTTGAAATTCATTTCTATAATAATCTTATTATAGAATAGCCAATTCTGGAAAAATACTTAATGACATACGATTTTCAAATTTTCATTTTTAATGAAAGAGCACAACGACGTTATTCTAGGAAAATAATTCGCGAAGATGAGAAAATTTTTCTTAACACACCCTAAATGTTAACACCCTGTAACAAATGTTTTGTTACGGGTGGGTACTACTACCAAAATCAGTGGTCTACATGTAAGGACAGCCCGAAGGTCTTAAAGCGCCGCAGGTGTGTAAGACCTGCAGGGTACCGGGTCTGGAGCGACGCCTAGTATAATAGAAATATATTTATACTATCGAAATAAAAATTATACTCCCATTAAAAAAATTAAAGTTTATATTTTTTCTCTCTAAAGAAATGAAAACAAATTTGTTTAACTACATATGATTATTGTTTTTTGAATCAAACAAAATTTTCCTAAAATTAAATGAATTTTATTTTTGTATCCCTGAACGGATGAAAAATAAATTATTTAATACATAATATTGTATAATTTTTGTACATGATAAATTAAAATTTCATTTACACTGATATTATAATCAACTAACTAAGGTAGAATTATTGAACTTTTTTAAGCATGAACGTATATAACTACCTTATAATAGTAATCACTGTTAGATTTCAATGTATAATGGTCTCCTATATGAAAGAACCCGCTATGCCATCACACGACTGTTCTATGTTTATTTATTATCCAAGATTATATGTACAATTTATATCTATTATTTGGAACACTAACATATTTAATAAGCAAATTAATAATTGAATTTTTTTTAAATTTCTACATTTGGCATGTAATTTTTTTACAATAATAGTACTTTAAATTTTAAAAATATTATATGCCCTTAGGTATTTTTTGTGCTTAGAAAAAAACAATCACACGTAACATTTTTACATACATACCATCATGTGAACATGGTTATTACTACTTGGGCACATTTAAGATACATTAAAGGTAAGTTACATAAAATTTGATTAATTTTATTGCTTAATAAGATTTCTAAATATATTTTTAGAATTAAAATTTTATTTATCTTATAGTAAAATTCTATTTAGGTACGATTCGTACCGTACGAGTATTTAGGTTAGATTAGAGCATTTAAAACATAAAAATAATTTTACAAAAATAATTGTTTGTAAGATTTTGAAGAAAATCAAAAATAACGTCGTAAGAGAACGTTCAAAACATGATTAGAAAGAAAAAAAAATCATTAAACTTAGAAAGAAAGAGTATGACAAATAAGCTTACTATATTAGATTAGAACAATATACCAGAGACTTTTAAATAAAAAAAGTATAGAATTCAACATTTTTTTTTACTTATGATGCTCACATTTAGATGTGCTTACTTTTGAAATTCTAAGCACTTCATATTATACTAAATATAGGTTATCTCATCATCGTTCATGTCTGATCAGCTTTTTTAAAAAATGATTTACTTTTTTTTATTGAATGTAGTTTAAAATGTACTTTTATAATTAATGTAAGAGATTTTTATATATGGTGGTTAAACAATTTATAAATGAATTAAAATAAAAAACTAATCGCATAAGTTACTTATCATTAGTTCTAGGTTGATAACATACTATGCGTCCAAGGAAAACACGTTGCGTTAGATTTAAAGGGTAATTAGTAAAATTTTAGTGCTAAATACATTAACAAGATGTATTTTTTGATATTTGGACGTATTGTTGAACAATTATAGTCCGATAAGTACAGATATGGATAGATATGGACAGACATATACAAAAAACACATCACAGTAAAACTAATGCCGTCAGTTTTATCATACAGTACTTTATCAAAGCTAAGTAAAGTGTATAAAAATAATTTTTTTATACACGTAACTCAAAAGATTTTTTTTGGAACCATACATTTCATCTATTAAAAATCTATTTAAATTTAAAATTAATAGTTATAAAAATAAAACCTAATTAATAAATTGTTTTAAATAAATCATAAAATGGATGTGTTGTAACAAAAAAAAAAGGTAGAATAATAAATTATAATTTTTCCTTATTTAATCGCTGAGCTGCATATCAAAACCAATTATTGACATAAAACATTTTTTAAAGCTACACCTAGAATTTTGTTTTAAAAAAAAATATAACGTAATAGTACAATAATAATTAAAATTATAAATAATAAATGATAAATTACTCTTTGTCGTACTGATGAAAAATCGAGTTGGTACCCAGACGCCTTAATATAGTACAATAATATTAAGAAAAATAAATAAAATGCTATAACAATTATAACATTAAAATATTATCAATAAAGCTTTAAAAATGAACAAGATTTATATTAAAAACATAATAAATGAAATGTTCTTCAAAATTTAAAAATAATTATCACGATTACCGGTTTCAAGTTATAATATTATGACAGCATAAAATTAACATTTTTTTTTTCAAATTTAAAGACTTGTTGAAATATAAAAAAATTATAAATATTACAAACTGATAATAAAGTATTATAATATTGCATTATTATAATTTAATTAAAACTGAAAAACAAATCTTTAACTTAAATAGGTTATCAAGGTGTTTTTTATGGATTAATAAACTCATTCATTCATATGGTTATGTACACATACTACTTTTTATCAGCTCTAGGACCTCAAATGCAAAAATATTTGTGGTGGAAAGTATATTTGACCCAGTTACAGATGGTATGTTCAAACATTTTTTTTTATACAAGTCATTTTCATTATATTTTCTGTTTTAATTTTCAGGTTCAATTTATAATAATGTTGATCTATGGTGTATACTTGTATTTAAACGATTGTAAATTCCCAAAGATATTTACCATTTATATAGCAGCCGATTTATTACTATTTTTGTACTTATTTATGATGTTTTATCGAAGAATATACAATAAAAAAGGAAAAATTGAATAGTTTCAACAAACACTATACAGTACTTTTATTTAAATTCTATTTTATATTATTTATTTAATAATATTTTATTTAAATATTTGTTACTTTTTAAATGTTAGGGTATAATTAATAGTATATTTTATTTAATGTACCAATTGGTTTAAAAATATTTTTACCTTTTTTTTTATACACATTTTTCATTATTAATACTCATATAATACTAATTAATTTGAAATTTGTTTTGTTAAAAAGTACAATAAAAATACATTGCTGTTTTACTGAAAAAAAATATCAATAAGAAAATTATTCTTTCAATATGTGATATGATTATACGGAAAAAAAATGAAAACGTGGATCAAGTATATTCACAAAATACGTGTTATGATATTTTCTATAAGTACTTGATGAACAACTATAATTTAATTTTTCGCTAATTTGTTAATATACAGTTGTTGGTAATAATTAACTAAACTTTTAAATCATTTAAGGATATTTATAAGCATTTTAAATAAATACAATTGATACAATATTGTGTCAATTGTATTTTGTTAATTGTAGTTGGTTTTATTGGATCTTAAAAGTCACGTAAAAAATTAGCTTGGATTAAAATTCAAGCAACTGATTTTTCTTTCAAATGTCAATAAAAAATTCTTTGTAAAGTTGTTTTTTAGTTTTTCTACAAACGATGTTTTACACGGTACAGTTTGCGAATTCTTAAGATTCTATTCAAAAAAACTATCATTTGGTTATTTTCACTTGAAATACTAATATCAAAATAATCAACACAAAAATTTTATCTACTACTATCTACATTTTGGTTGAATTTAACCTTCGCTTGGAACAAATTTTCATTTTCGTCAGAATGTTAACTATGATTAAGCATATTTGTTTAATTATCTAATTATCTATTTATCTAATACAAAATATGAATAATTGTTGTGTTTTCGATGTAAATAGTATTTTAATGGGCAAATGTAAATTTCCTTAAAAATTTTACAGCTACTACTGTATTACCTGTATATTCTAAAACATTGTACTCTAAATCCTAATTATTTTATAAGTATTTATTTAAAAATAATTTTTACCGTTTAAAATTATCATAAAAGAACATAATTATTTCTATATGCTGTGCATTTGTATATATTTTTTCTGAATTTTTAGCTTAATAAGGACCATTGTGACCTTGCCAAAAAAGAGATTTCTTAATCTTATTTACTTCGGGACGAGTCGTTAATCCGACGTTAGAGTGAAGGATGATGACTCCTATAACTGAATTGATAAGCAAACAAAGTCGCCCGTGACCTAGTCTCGAACAGGTTATACTCGGCCATATCGCCTCTTATGTATTCAATGAATACTATTCATGTATAAAAATGCATTTTTTGTATTAATCGTTAAATACCAACGATCCATTTACATTAAACTAAACTTACAGAAACATACTATTTACTATTATAAGTAAATTATTTAATTATACTATGTTATAACAGTTTAATTTTATTGAGTCGGTTACAATTCATATTGCGCAGAGAAATACCCTCTTATCCACTTAGTATATAACAATAATTATAGCACTTTGCAAAAATTCATTGTAAAGTCACACCAGCACCCACAATTGTAATTAGCCATTTAGAAATTTAAAATTTATACCAGCAATTTTTATTTCATCTTTAATTATTCCGAAACACAAAAAAAATAATTTTACAATTCAATTCCACAAAAATAGTTTTTATTCAGCCGTGATGTTACACCAGCACCCACAATTTGAAATTAACCAATAAAAAAATTAAAAATGATTAAGCGAATGGTTATATAGTTTTCAACTAAATATTCTGTGTCTATAAACGTTTATTATAAAACACGGAGATAGAAAACTTGGTATATAAATTTATATATGTTATTTTTTTATGTTTACGTAACAGGATTATTACGTTTTTAACACACAGTGTTTAAAATACCGAATATTAGAAAATTTTCATTAGTTTTTTTGGAATATTTTAAAGGCTTTGAATTGATATATATATATATGTATTATATCGTATTTATATCTCTATGTGTAAAATTAAAACTCAAAGAAGTAATATATACTGAACTTAACTATGAGAAACGTAAATTTAACGCATATATTCGTCGTCAAGACCTTAGGACAATTTTTAATTTTCAATTTCGTAAAGTCTTAGTATGAGATAATACGTTAAGAGTAAAGGTAGACGAATTACATATTACTTCTCACATTGGTATATCACCAAATAAGAATTTGGCATATTTTTAAGAACTAAATACACTAATATAAAATAGCTATTATTATAAAAGTAAAAAATTATTAATTAATACAATACAATTTATACAAATGGTGGTGTACTTTGTAAGCTAAACTCATATTTTATTAGCCTAACTTAAATCTCGAGGAGGTATTTTGTACCTTATGTGATAAAAGGTTATATGAATAACAGTTATAAATTAAAGGCATAAGAATAATATTAAAAAGATCATTCATACACATAGTACATAAAAATAAATTATGAATATTATGAAATCAAGTTATTGTAACATAATCATATGTAAAAGAAAAAAAGATGATAAGCAGCAATGATATTATAATTTTTACAATAACTAATTCAATTATTATTTAAAGTATTTTTTATTCAAATATTAAGTATAAATCATACTAATGGTCTGGTAAACTGGGTGTTCTAGATCCAATTTAAGTGTCAGATAAATCAGATAAGTGTCTTCGCAAATAGTCAAAATAATAATTATAATTTAACATTCACTGACGGTACACTAACCACCGATCATTAGTCAGATCCGTTTTTACTAGGAATAATGTCATTACTAACAATTAAGATTATAAATAACATAAAATTTACAGTATTAATGATTACTTTCTAAGTATTAGTATATTACACTTTCTTATAGTTAAATAATAAAAATAAAATATACAAAGTGGGTTTACGATATCATCACCCTGAGAGAGAAATAATACCTAAAATATTATTTCTAAAATTTTAATATACAATACATTTGAATCACAAAAATGTTACAAGTTTAATACATAGAATAAATAATTAACAGTTTTTTTATATATAGAAACATATTTTAAGTAACAAAAATATATAACATAATCTATATTAAATCATGTATCATAAATTGGTATTTTTTTATGACATATTGGCTTTTTATGAGCTATCCTTGGCTAGTTTTATCAATTATATCTGTTTATCTACTATTTATACTAAAAATTGGTCCAATTTTGATGAAAAACCGAAAACCTCTTAATTTAAAGTACATCTTGTTGCTATACAACATATTTCAAGTTATGTATAATGGATACTTGGTTTCATTAGTGAGTACCATTTTTCAACTTTCAATTTAGAATATCATGGGTTTCATATAATTATTATACAACATAAATTTAGAAAATTATTTATGTTGTTATAAAACGAAATGTTTGAAGAAAATACAACTAACATCGTTAAAAGTCTAACTATATCTAATTGCGCCTAAGGTCCGTGTATATGAGGTGTGACAATAAAATAACGAGACTTTTTTAATAAAAGTTATTTATTTTTAAAACTTTACAATTTAATGATTATCACCTTCAAAGTACCTTACCTCAGCATTAATACACTGTTTCATACGTCGCTGCGATTCTTGAAAACAATGTTGCCAATCGTTTTCAGTTAGCCCTTTTAGAAGTTCTGCCGTTTTCATTTTTACATCATCAGCCGTTTGAAAATGGATTCCTTTTAATAAACTTTTAATTTTTAAATTAAATACTTATGTTTACTGAACATTTAAAATATAACTTTACTTTATTGTTGACTTAATCCAATAGTTTAACTTTATTATATAATCTCTTACTAATTACTAAATGCTCAAACACCTAGGCAATCATGACACAGGAGACAAAAGGATACACAGTTGTGTTAAAACTCATTTAAGAAAATATTTGGGCAGGCATTGAGTGTCTTTGGATTTTTTGTTTTGTTCAAATTCCCAAAATATAAACGGTACCCTAATAGTAGTTGACTGGATGAGTTGTAATTGTTTCTTTGTTTAGTCATCTTATACTTGAGTTACCTCAATTTAACTTTTAAGTTCTTTGTGTTTGATACATCTTTTGTAATTTTCAAGGTCATTGTCACTATATAAAGCTCATTTTGCTAGTACGTCAGAAAGGAGGTCTAAACCACATTTTATGAAACTATGGACGTATGGAGTATGAACGTGGTATAGTTGGGACAATTGTAGATGATAATTGACAGTGTTGAAAATCACTATCATAAAAAACACTTCGATGCAAATATTTAGATAGTTTTTAATTTTAAAAAATTGGTCGATTATTCCCAAAGCAACATCAACTCCTATTTCTATAATAATATCTTGATTAGTGTTTCTTTGATTTAAAATTATAATATATGAATAAATACTAATTATAGTAAATAAATTTAGTATAAAATTAATATTCAATAATTTAATATTGTAATTTATACGGAGAAATTATAAAAATAATAAAGTAGATGTATATTTTTTTACTTTTAACGCGTATACAAATTTAAAGGGCTTAATGCAATACTTTTTAATAAAAACTGTTTGTTACTTATGAATAAATACACTGGACTACATATAAAAAAATGTAGTCTAAAAAAACTGAAAAACACGCTTTTAAACAATATTTATTTTTCACTTTTTAGTTTTTATGACATCGCTGTCACAGTCACGGAGTGTTTATTGTAAAGTATGACTATCAATAGATATAATTTCTGTTTTGCCAGTTAGTGTGTTTAAAAATTTATAACAATGTATCTTATGACCATTGATAATAAAGTATTATACCTGCGAATATCGTCATAAAAAACTAATTAGCTCTATTTATTTGTATTCCCTTATATATTATACATGTATATTAGGGTGGTCCTTAATGTATAGATGCCGATTTTTTTTTTTCAAAATTTGATCGGGCTACCCCCCGAATTTGTTCAAAACTATAAAAAAATAATTTGTGTCAAATTTCATTAATTTTGGTCAACCCTAAGCCGTGCCTCAAGAGGGTTGAAAATTTAATCATCAGGGTAGTTTTTCAATAATTGTAGTTTATCTCAACATTTATGACTTTTACATAAAAGTTTATAAGAAAAAAATTGTAGATATAAATATTTTACATAAAAAAGTCATAAGTCATATATTTACCTCGCAAAAGTTAAAAGTTGAACCAAATATATGTTCAAGAATAAAATTCTGAAATTTTCACAATTTTAATATATACGATGAAGCGTTTGCGTTATAAAAAAATGCTTGAGTAAAAGTTGTTTTAAATTAAATGTTTCATATTTTTTGTAAAAAAAAAAAAAAANAGTTGTTTTAAATTAAATGTTTCATATTTTTTTTAAAAAAAAAAAAAAAAAACAGTTATGTATTTGTTAATTTATAAGTATAAGTTAAACTTATACTTAAATAATATGTTTCGTTCTAAAATAAT